AACTTGCCTCTTCTTCTTTAGCCTTTTCCATTTATACATTCACAAGCTAGTATCTACACACACACACTGTGGATTTCTTCAAAATGGGTGTTTCGATTCGTCATAAAGAAATGACTCTTTTTCTTCTTTTCCTGGTGTTTTTGGTTTTTCAAACTGATAAGGTTTCAAGTCTAAGATGGGACAGAGACATGAAGGTGCAACTTCTGTCTGTTCATCCTTTGCGTGTTCTTGAAGAGTCCTCATCATCATCATCAAAGGAAGAAAATTTAGATACAAATCGAGACTTAGCGCCTTCTCCTTTGATTATGTTTGATCCTAATCAATCTGTTAAGAGAATGATTGGAAGAGGATCTGATCCTATACATAACAGATGCTGACATTCTTTTAAAGAAGAAGAAACAATGTGTTTTTGTTTCTGAAACTAAAGCTAGTTCTCTATATTCTGTTTCTGCATTACTTTGTTTTCTTTCAGTATTCTGTTTTATACATTTGCCTCTTAATCCTTTTAAAAGTTTATATTGAATATTTGTTCTGTTTGATGCAGTGTGTATGACTATACAAGACTTCATTTGTTCTTTGTGTCTCTGTTTCGAATCTGTTCTGATTATCATATTATTATCACTTTATCAGTATTGTAAACATCAATCATACATTGATCTTCTAAGATCTTTTCGATGAACAAGAATTTTCCAAATCCAGGAACCTCGGACCGAGCTTTATAAATGATTTTGGTTTATAAGATGGCCCAATACATGACATAAGCCCATTAAACACTTCGTAGGAACCAGAGAAACATGGAAAACGGGACACAATTTATTTCTCTTGGGACTCTTTCGATGCATGTTTATTTCATGTGAAATCAGTACGATTCTACTTATGTTTAGGAATCCATATAAGAAATTGCGATGGAACTTAAGTACTATTATTTAAAATATATAGACTAATCTATTCATTGTCAATTGATTTTGAATTCGAAATTCATAATTTCACATGATATGACAGTTTAATTTGGTGACTCAAATATCGTTATCTAGAAAAGTTTACTATCGATTTTAGAATGAGATTCTATTCTAGATAGGACCAAAGTTATTATCTTGAAGAAGTGTATTAGGAATTCCACTCGAAAACTGTGTTGGGATCTAAATAACATATAATGAACTAGATTAGGAGTTGCGTTGATAAGCAGGTAGATACATTAAAAATTATAATATTAAAATTTAAATTTAAATTAGTAACCCATTAAATTATAAAAATATTTTGAAATAATTAAACATGCTTCTTAAAAAATTAAAGTTTAATTCATATCTTAATTTTCATATCATAATTCATATTATGCATACCCAAAAAA